CGGACTTAATGGCAACAGGTTTGGTTTAGGGGTTTAAAGGCAAATAGGGTAGGGTCATCATGAGTCTACTCAAGGGCAACTGTTTTTTTTAATATGTAAACAAGGAATTTCAAAAAAGTAAAGGCAGCTTGGGAAAGCCACAGAACTGAAGGCTTGGAGCGCCCTCTATGGGTGTCTATAATTTGTTGCTGTTAGGTGCCATTGAATGGGGTTTGCCTTTACCTAGAGACCCTAGGTCAAAGAGAAGGAAACACTGCCTGGTTCTGCACTGTCCTCACAAGCATTGCTACTCTTGTGCCCATCGTTGCGGTCACTATGACAGTTGACACTGTTGAAGCATCTTACTCATGTTCGCTGACCCTCTACTTTACCAAGCAGGATGTCCTTCTCCAGGGACTGGTCCCTCCAAATGACATGTCCACAGTAAATGAGACCAAGTCTCGCCAGTCTTGCTTCTAAGGAGCATTCTGGCTGTACTTGTTCCCAGACAAGTGTGTTCATTCTTTTGGCAGTCCATAGTATATTTAATATTCTTCTCCAGCACCATAGTTCAAAGGCATCAGTTCTTTTCTGGTTGTCTTTATTCATTATCCAGTTTTTTCATGCATATGAGAGGACAGAAATCACTGTGGCTTGGGTCAGGCACACCTTAGTCTTCAAAGTGACATCTTTGCTTTATAGAACTTTAAAGAAGTACTTTGCAGATTCACCCAATACAATTTATCATTTGATTTCCTGATTACCACTTAGAAGCCAGCATCAGTGATGCTGTTTGGGGACATAGGAATTGCCCTGGTGGCACTGTGGGTTAGATTTTGGACTTCAAACCGCAAGTCTGGAGGTTCAAACCCACCAACCGCTCCCTGGACTCCCTATACAGGGTTGCTATAAGTCGGAACTGATTTGACGGCACTTAACAATAACAACTGCTCCTGTAGAGATTTACATTCTCAGATGCCCTAAAGAGCCTTTCCTCCCTGCCATATAGGGTCCCGATAAATTGGAACCAAGTCAAGGGAAGTGGGCTTGCTTTGGGTTTGTTGAGAAGCTGATGTAATGCTGGATTTATGCTGATTTTCATATTCATCAGGCCTCATTTCTTCAGCATCTGGGCTATGAATGGAAAACCCTTTCTAATCAACATGTTGTTGTTAAGTGCCGTCGAGTCGGTTCCGACCCATAGTGACCCTGTACAGGGTTTCCGAGGGTGTAAATCTTTACGGGAGTAGAAAGCCTCATCTTTCTCCCACGGAGCAGCTGGTAGTTTCGAACCGCTGACCTTAAGGTTCGCAGCCCGATTCGTAACCACTACGCTACCAGTCCTTCAAAATACAAGGCAGAAGCTAAGGAAATGTTTACAGAAAGTTTTAGTGAGTTTCTGAAGCATGTCATAGAAAAGTACGTTTGCTTAGCAATACCTTGTTTTTAGGACCAAGACTCCATTCAATGTTGCCTTGGTTCCCCGGGTTCCCCGGGTATCTGCTTTGTTTTTCATGTGCTAGGATGCATCAGGGCTACCTTTGGTCACTGGCGACTCTGTTTTAAAAACTGAATTTCATTAACTGAACACAGAGAGCATTGTTCTAGATTGTCAATCACGTGCCAAGTCAAAACAACAAAACCAAACCTAATGCTAGTGAGTCCATTCTGACTCAGAGCAGCCCTGTAAGTCAGAGTAGACCAGCCCCACACAGTTTCTGAGGCTGTAAATCTTAAGAGAAGCAGACTGCCACCCAGGGGTAGATTTGAACCACCAACCTTATGGTCAGCAGTTGAGCATTTAGCCACTGTACCACGAAGTTAACATGAGTGATTAGAGTTCATGACAGACACAAAGAACAACAGAATATTTCAAGACATTTTCTAACGTTACCTGGATTTGGCTGAAGATATTCTGTCGCTTTTGAAAGAATTTCTGCAACAGCTTTATTGGTAATATCTATTTTCTTCAAGCAAACAAACAAACAAAAAAAAAAAAACCAAGAGAAAATGTTAGCATATGACAAAGGAAAACACAGACAGCAGTAGATTTCATTAATGTAATGATTATAAAACTATCATAATGGTTTTAATACAAATGAATGTTTGAGGGAGAGGCAATATTTTCGGTCAGTTTTGTGACTTCATCATCTAATATGATGCTGGGCAGTAGTTTTTTTTTCTTCATAAAATGCAAATTCACTTTAAGTATATTAAACTGAGAATTAGTATATATTTTGAGAATTTGCGAAAGTTATTATGCTTCGCTAGATTAATCTATCTACTTGAAGGTCACCCAAAACCAAGATGAGGCATTACTGAGTCAAATTTCCATGCTTGATGGGTAAACATAAATTACGTACTTATCCAAGGGTGTCACAATACAGGTCCATCTTTGAAACAACCTCAGTAAATCAGTAATGAGATGGTAATTATCACCATTACTATTATAAAATGGGAGCTGGTGGCTCCATATGATAAGCACTGGACTGCAAACCACAAGGTCCGTGGTTCGAACCCGCCAGCCACTCCGTGGAAGAAGGATGAAGCTTTCTGCTCCCTCGAATATTTAAAGCCTTAGAAACCCTATACAGGGTCACTATGAGTCAGAACAGACTCGATAGCACTTAAGGACAGCAACTATTATAAAGTAAGCATTTTCCTTTGTGCTGCATTCAGAAGACGTTAACACTAAGATTGCCCTGACAGGTTCAGAAGAACTCTTTCCTACTCCAAAATTATTTCTGAACTTTCCACTTGTTATAACCAGAGCATTAACGGGAAGCTTCAATAAAGTTAAAAGTGCAAATATCAGTCTCTTGATTTTATGTTGTCAATAGTCTGAAAAAAAATGTAAAGAAAAAGGAGATGTTATTCACAATAGCAATAAAATCTATGCAACAGCAAGGAGTAAAAATCTGACAAGAAACACACAATACCTGTATGAAAAATCATTCCCAAGGCAGGAGAACTGAGTTTTGAAAAGATTTAAGTCCTTGCCGAATTAATAATTAATTCAAAGATTAATATAATTTCAGTTGTTTTTCTTTTGTGTTAAAAGTATATATAGCTAGATTAATAATTCACACTATGGCGCTGTGGGTTAATATGCCAGACTGCAAGGTCTGGCGTTCAAGCTCACCAGCTGCTCCTCGAAAACCCTATACAGGGTCGCTACGGGTCAGAACCAACTCGACAGCATTTCACAACAACAACTGGACAAAAATGTGACCTAAAACCACATTACAGAAGCACCTCAACCATAGAGGAGACTATTGTGTAAAATAAGATGGAGCCCATTATGAAGTGATTTCTCTTATAGTTTCACATCAGCAATACTACTAGCATTAAGAAGGTGCTCATTAGAGCAAATTATTTAGATTTAAAAACTGAAAACAGCCTAAATTACAATCAGCAGGAGACTGATTAGATACATTGTGAAACATCCAAATGGAAGAATACTCTTTAGTTACAAGCACTGGACTTCGAACCACATGGTCGGAGGTTCAAGCCCACCAGCCTCTATGTGGGTGAAAGATGAGGCATTCTGCCCCTGAAAAGATTTACAGTCTCAGAAACCCTATGCAGGATCACCATGAGTTGAAGCTGACTCCACAGCTTCTCTCAAATACGTAACAACAACTATCAAATACCAGGGTTGAGAGGAGCTGCTAAGCATAACATATTCAAATGGCATCAAGGAAAAGATCAATAAATCTGACTCTGTAACTGTGAAAGACACAACACACAAAGTTTAGCAAAGTTACAAACGGAAATAAAAAATGTATAGAACACAAATGATTCACATCTATAATGCTGAGAACCTCCACAAATTAACAAAGATTGACAATCCAAAAAAGACAAATAACACAACTTGCCTATAAACATGTTAAAATACATTCTAAAGAACTGAAAATTAAAAAGAGAATTTCCACTTGACAGATTGACATGAAAAATTTAACACATTGATTATGCCCAATATTAAGGAATAACAGACCCTTTCATATAGCACAGAAGCGTAAAATGATGAAACCTTTTAGAGACGGCGGTGGAACTACCTACTAATGGGCATACCTTTGGAACCAATCACGATCCTTAGTGATGTCTCTTATATTCTCACACCAGCAAATTGCCATCATATAAAAAGATGGTCATTAGAGCATTTTATACAGAATCAAAACCTGAAAACAGCTTAAATTATAATCAGTAGGAGACTGATTAGATAAATACTGAAACATTCCAATGGAAGAATACTCGTTAGTTACAAAGGGGAGGCGGGGAAAGGCAGCTTTGTATGTTCTGGGATGATGTCCACGATGCATTCACTGATAAGGAAAAGAGAATGCTTCGGAGTAGTTTATATAGAAAAATGTCATTTTTGTAATTTTAATGAAAATATGATCTGAGTCTCTTTGTCTGGGAACCGAGGTCAGGTCAGGACATTCCAACCAACCACGCACCTTCCTAGAGGCTGAAATTTTCATTGTCCCCTTAGCTAAATTTAGGGCACCAGGAAGTCTTAAAAAGTCAGTAGAGCAATGAAGACATGTCCAAATATGTCCACTAATAGACTGGATAAACAAACTGTATATGATATTATTATTCAACCATAAAGAGAAATGAGGTTCTGACACATGTTACATCATGGATGAACCATGAAAGCATTATGCTAATTGAGCTAAGTCAGTCACTAAAGGATGAATATTGTGTGATCCCACTCAATAGAGTAAGCAAATTTATAGGGGAAAAAGTTAATCGGTGAATGCCAGGGGCTAGTAGGATGGGAAAATGGGGAGTTTCTTCATAAGGGGTTCACGGATTCTGGTAAGGGTGATGAGAATTTGGAAGTGACGAGCAGTGATGGTGGTACTGAAGGATGGATGGAACTACTGGATTGTGCACTAAAACGTGGGTGTTTCATTATAGATATTTTACCACAATTGTTGTTGTTGTTGTTAGGTGTCATTGAGTCAGTACCGACTCATAGTGACCCTATACACAACAGATGAAATGCTGCCCGGTCTTGTGCCAAACACACCTGAGCCCATTGCTACACCTGAGCCCATTACTGCTGCCAAGGTGCCAAGCCATCTTGTTAGGGGTCGTCCTCTTTTTCAGTGGCCTTCCATTTTACCAAACATGATATTCTTCTCCAGGGACTGGTTCCTCCTGATAATATGTCTGAAGTATGAGAGACAAAAACTGCCCATTTTGGCTTCCAAGGAGCATTCTGGCTGTACTCTTTCCAACAAAGATTGATTTGTTCTTTTGGCAGTCTATGGTACTTTTAATATTCTCCAACACCATATGCAAAAGCATCAGTTCTTCTATGGTCTTCCTTATTCAGTGCCCAACTTTTGCATGCACATGAGGTTATTGAAAATACCATGGCTTGGGTCAGGCACACCTTAGTCTTCAAGATGACATCTTTGCTCTTCAACACTTTGAAGAGGTCTTGTGAAGCAGATTTGCCCAGTTGTATATGTCATTTGATTTCTTGACTGCTGCTTCCATAAGTGTTGGTGGTTGATGTAAGCAAAATGAAGTTTTTGACAACTTCGATCTTTTCTCTCTATATGGATGTTGTTTCTTGGTCCAGTTATGAGGACTTTGTTTTCTTTACATTGAGGTGCAACCCATACTGAAGGCTGTGGTCTTTGATCTTCATCAGTAAGCATTTTAACTCCTCTTAGCTTTCAGCAAACTAAGTTGTATCATCTGCATATCACAGGTTGTTAAGGAGTCTTCCTCTAATCCTGATGCCATGTTTTCCTTCATATAACCCAGCTTCTTGGATTATTTGCTCAGCATACAGATTGAATAAGTATGGGGAAAGAATATAGCCCTGATGCACCCCTGTCCTAATTTTAAACCATTCCGTGTTCCTTGTTTTGTTTGAACGACTGCCTCATGGTCTATTTACACACTCCTAAGGAGCTCTGGTAGTGTAGAGGTTACGAATTGGGCTGTGAACCGCAAGGTCAGCAGTTCGAAACTACCAGCTGCTCCGCGGGAGAAAGATGAGGCTTTCTGCTCCCGTAAAGATTTATAGCATCAGAAACCCTGTTCAGGGTCGCTATGAGTCAGAACCGACTCGATGGCACATAACAACAACAACATGAGCACAAGTAAGTGTTCTGGAATACTCAGCTCCATGATGTTGTCCATAGCTTGTCATGATCCACACAATCAATAGCCTTTCAGTAGACAATAAAGCACAGGTAAGCATAGCACAGTGGTTACGAGTCAGGCTGCCGACCTCAAGGTCAGCAGTTCAAAACTACCAGCGGTTCCACGAGAGAAAGATGAGGCGTTCTGCTCCCGTAAAGATTTATAGCCTCGGAAACCCTGTGCAGGGTCACTATGAGTCAGAACCGACTCCATGGTACTTAACAACAACAACAAAACATCTTTCTGATATTCTCTGCTTTCAGTCAAGAGCCATGTGACATCAGCAATGATATCCCTCATTCCACATCTTCGTCTGAATCCAGCTTGAACCTGTTCTCTGTCAATGTACGTTTGCAGTCGTTTTTGAATTATCTTTAGAAAAATTTTACTTGCATGAGATATTGATGATATTGTCTAATGATTTCCACCTTCCGTTGGGTCACCTCTCTTTGGAATGGGCACAAATATGGATCTCTTCCAATCAGTTGGACAGTCAGCTGTCTTGCAAATTTATTGGCAGAGATGAGTGAGTGCCTCCTGTGCTTCATCAGTTTGTTGAAATATTTCCATTTGTATTCTATCAATTCCAGGAGTCTTATTCTTTAATACCTTCAGTGTACCTTGGACTTCTTTCTTCAGCATATTTAGCTCTTGATCATATGTTACCTCTTGATTATTATCATTTTTATACAGAAATTACTAAATTTATAAATAAGATTCTTAAGTTAATCTTAAAACTGAGGAAAACCAAGGTTTGAAATTTTTAAGTGTAATCAATTCAATACTAATTAAAACATAACTTGATGGGTTTCACCTATAGAACCCTCCTTGGGCATGGTAAGCCACCAGAAGCTAAGAGGCAGAAGCTATGAAGAAAGATGAAGATAAAGAGAAGTTAGAGGAGGACAGACTTTAGACTCTTCTATACCATTTTGAGTTACGGTGTTGGAAGAGAAAATATTGAAAGTGCCATGGGCTGCCAAAAGAACCGTTTTGAAAGAAGTGCAACCAGAGCGCCCCCTGGAGGCCAGGATGGCCAAAAACTTCATCTCTCATACTTCAGACATATTGTCAGGAGGGTCCAGTCACTGGAGAAGGATATCATGTTTGTTAAGGTGGAGGGTCAGAGAAAAAGAGGAAGACCCCCAACAAGATGGATTGGCAAAGTGTCAGCATCAATGGGCACAAGCGTGGCAACAATTGTGAGGTTGGCCCAGGATCGAGCAGTGTTTCATTCTGCTGTGCATAAAGTTGCTATGAGGTGGTACCGACTCGATGGCATGTAACAACAACATACCATTTGAAGGACTCCTGGTGTGGCGCTGTGGGTTAATTCGTCAGACTGCAAAGCCATTTGAACTGTAAGGTCAGCAGTTCAAGCTCACCAGTTGCTGCTAGGAAACCCTATACCGGGTCGCTATGGGTTGAAGATGACTTGATGGTACATAACAATACCAACATACCATTTGAAAGGAGCTCTGGTAACGTAGTGGTTACGAATCGGGCTGCTAATCTCAAGGTCAGCAGTTCAAAACTACCAGCTGTTCTGCGAAAGAAAGATGAGGCCTTCTGCTCCTGCAAAGATTTACAGCCTTGGAAAACCTACACAGGGTCGCTATGAGTCGGAACCAACTCCATGGTGCATAGCCACCAACATTTAAGGAGTCCTGCTGTGGCGCTGTGGGTTAATACGCTGGGCTGCAAAGTCAGTTTGAACTGCAAGGTCAGCAGTTCAAGGTCACCAGCCACTCCTTTGAAACCCTATACAGTGTCCCTATGGGTCGGAATTGACTCGCTGGTACATAACAACAAACAACAACAACAAATGTTCTCTTATTTTCTAGCGTCTTGTCTTGAATGATTCATTTTCTCCCAATTCATTTTCTACCTAAAATAATCTATGCAGCTGATTAGGAAACATTCTCTGGAGTGCATTAAAATAATTTATGAACCAAGCCCATCATATTTTTCCAAATGTTTTCAATACATTCATTTTTTGCAGAATTCTCATGACATCCATGTGAAGCAAGCAGGGCACTTATCCTCACGCTACTATTCAGAAAAGATGAAATCACTTGTCCAAGTTGATACTGCTAGTTCTAGCAGCAGAGCCAGGATAAATTAAAAGTGATTGTCGTTCACCCCTGAAACACATGGAGGAAAGGTTCAGAATACCTCCACACTGAGTCAATCGTTATAAATGTGAAGGGTCTTGTCCCAGAAATTTATCTTGGTTCTCAGTGACATATAACCACAATTATGTCGGCCTTTTCCTTGATTGTCCGTCTTTTGAGCATTCGCTTCCACTAGAGGGAGCCAGAATCCAAGTTAGCCACGTTGGGTCTCCAAGAAGCTGTCAAGACTGGATGCAGAATGACACTAAGGGTCCTAGTTTGGCTTGGAATCCTGAAAGAACCTTTTGAATTCCATATTCATGCTGGTATTTAAACATCCTAGATTCCCACTCTAATGTTTTACAGTACCCAGTATAGCTCACTTCACGATGAAAGTTAATTTGCAATAAGACTTACATATTAAAATGCTCTCTCTCACCTTTTCCATGTCGAGAAATTCATCATCTAGTTTCGTTCCTTCAACGCCACTTATTTTTTCACTAAAGAGCTGCAGAAATAAAACAAGCAATTGCATTATACAATGATTTCTTTCACGTTTGTTTTTTTTTTTTAACCTAAGTTATTTAAAAACAAAACCAAAAAATCAGATTTAACTTGTTGGATTTTTCTGCCTCCACTAATTATATTAGGAAAAGATCATGATTGGAAGAAATCTATTTATGCATAAGGGAAAAGTCACTCACTCAACAGATACTTATTATGCACCTAATATTTAGAGTTCTGGTGTGTCGTGGTAGGGTAACTACTAAATTGCTAACTTCAAGGTCGGTGGTTCAAACCCACCAGCCGCTCCTTTAAAACCCTATACAGAGTCATTATGCATCAAAACCAACTCGAGGCACATAGTAGGTGATCTACTTTGTTGTTGTTGTTGTTAAGTGCCGTTGAGTTGGTTTCAATGCATAGTGCTTGCAGTTCAAACTGATTTTGTAGTCTGGCACATTAACCCACAGTGCCATACCAGGACTCCTAGTAACACTGAAAAATAAAATAGGGCCCCTGTTGCCCAGAAGCATGCAGTCCAGGAACAATTCTAACTAAGACATTCAACCAAAATACGAGAGGAAAAATAAAACAACAAAGTAATAATAGTGAATATTATAATTACTCTAAATACTGAAATTACTATCAACATGCTAAATGACCGTTACATCAGAGGTGCATAGCCGGGATTCTGAGTGCTCACAGCATGGGGGTGGAAGTGAGGGATCATCCAGGATCTGTTTCCAAGCGATGTGACATTTGAGCTAGTTTTTTTAAAAAAATAAAACCTTCTAAAATGAAGTGATTGTTGCAAAGTGCTGTCGCTGCGTTGGTTCTGACTCATGAGCAACCCTGTGCACAACAGAATGTAACACTGTCTAGTCCTGGGCCATCCTCAGGACTGGAAAGTGTTTAAGCTCGTGCCCACTGCTGCTTCCACTGTATCGGTCCATCTTTTTGAGTGTCTTACTCTTTTTCGCTGACCCTCCACTTTATCAAGTATGATGTTCTTCTCCAGGGACTGGTCCCTCCTGATAATATGTCTGAAGTATGCGAAATGACGTCTCACCATCCTAGCTTCTAAGGGGCATTCTGGCTCTAGTTTCAACACAGACTTGTCTGTTCTAGGATGAAGTCGTTTACAACTAAGACCTAGAGGTATAGGGTGTCGTTACTCCACCTTGGTACTATTACCATTGGTACATTAATCTTTGATGTACATCTTGTTGAGTTGAGAGGCTTTCCTATGCATCATAAGATGTTTAGCAGCATCTCTGGCCTCCACCCTTTAGAGGCCAGAAAACCACCACCACGTCCAGTTGTGTCACCCAAAATTGTCTTCAGTCACTGCCAAATGTCTCCTGGGAGACAAAACAGCTTCTGATTGAGAACTGCTAGCATAAGGTTAAATGTATTCAACAAACAGCAAAGAATTTGGTTTAACTGGACTGAACAGTGCAGGGCTGCAAGGTTGGTGTGAATTGCAAGGTTGGTGAATCAAACTCACCAGCTGCTCCTCGGAAACCCTATACAGGATCACAATGAGCAGGAACCAACTCTATAGCACTTAACAACAACAACAACAACAAAGGGAAATGAAGGAAACAAATCTGAAAGGTAGGCAAGGACCAGATCACACAGACTCTTGAATGCCAAGTGAAAGAATATGATTTGAGATGTTCCTCAGGATTCTTCCTGGGATATGACGCAGTCAGAAACCCTTTAGAAAAGCAAAACTAGCATGAGTGTGTGTTGGATTCAAGGACAAGGACAATGGACAGGAAGAAGATCTATGAAATCTTTGTAGGAAAGCACATCAATATAATTTGTTTATAGTTTTAAGTATTTATGGATATAAAAATCAGTAGTAAAATGGATAGCATCAGTTGATGGTGAAGGGCTGTGGATGGTTTTAAATCCAAGTGTGGTTTTCTGCTACCACATGGTCCACATTTTTCATGTACACTGTTATGAGGGTAAGTCTAAAAGTATTGGGCATTATGGGTAATATGCAAGACCACAAAGGCGGTTTGAACTACAAGGTCTGCTGTTCATGCTCACCAGCCGCTCCTCAGAAACTTCATACAGGGTCGCTATGAGTCAGAAACGACTAGGCGGCACTTATCAACAACTTCAATCTTTTCTCCATTTATGTATATATTGCTTATTGGTCCAAAGCAAAAATTCTATAGAAGAATTAATCCTGATAGAAAAGGAGAAGAGTGTAGAATTAAAGGTTCTCAATGGAAGCTAGACTTGCTGGAGCCATTGAGGCTAGATGAATCCCAAAACTATTGCCCTGAGATCATCTTTAAACATCAAATACACTAAAACTACTCCCTGAAGTCGTCTTTGAAACTAAAAGTTCATCTTAATAAAGTTAGGTCTACCTTGAGCATTGTGCACTTTCAAAGAGTTATCTATGTGAGATAGAACTGACAACAACTCCAAATGTTAGATGAGAAGCTTAGGGGAGAAGTGACCCTAAGTCATTGCTGGTGGAACAATTCAGTGAATGATGGTGAGAATGTTTGCACCTCTCAAAGAATATAACCTATATCCTGAGTTCTATATGTAGAAATTGTTGTAATAGTACATGACTGTATAGATTACCTGATCTCACTTGATAATTCATCATTCAATTAATATTGTTGGACATCTACTATGTGCAAAGCACCCTGGTAGGTACTTAAGATACAAAGATGAAAAATATAGGTATGATCTCTGCAGGCCATGTGGGGTGTGCAACTAACTTTATACAAAGAATGTGGCATTTGCCCCTGGTTCCTGGAAGGTGATCTCTAAACCCATGTCGTTTCCCCAGTGAGTGGAGTGTGGCTATTCATAGAGGTGTTCTAGCTCATGTCTGACAGGTTAGGCTGACAGGTTATCACTCCTGGGTGTGGACTGGCCAGACTAGAAGACAGGATATCAGTACCACCTCCAGGAAGGGATGGAGAATGGGCTCAACCCCGTGGGTGATGATTTACTCAATCATGTCTCTACAATGAACCTCAAATAAAACTCTCTGCACTGAAACCCAAAAGCTTCCTGATTGGGCAAAGAAATTGATGCTCAGCAGGTTGATGTGTCTCTTGGGACATGGAAGCTCGAGACAGAGACCCTGTCAGACCTTACCCAATGATCTTTTCATTTGTACCCTTTTTGCTATAATAAAACAGTCATTATAATGATAGTGTTTTGTTGAGTGTTCTACTTAATTATTGAACCTGAGGGGTGGGAGAATCTCCAATCAGGGAACTCCAACATTGAAGCCGGTCCTTAGAAGACAGTGGGAACCCCTGAAGTTATAGCCAGCATATTAAAAGTAGAACTCCTAGTTTGGAGCTATAGGATCAGCCCTGGATTGTGAACCATAAGATTGGCAGTTGAAACCCACCAGCTGCTCCCCAGAAACCTTATACAGAGTGGTTATAAGTCGGAACTGATTTGATGGCACTTAACAGCAACAACAATATTAAAAGTTGGGGATCCTGGTGTCTAAAGTTAGGAGAAGACTTGGCAGAGTGGAAGACTACATCCTTAAATTTGTGAGCTCTGACCCAGCTCCTGGTGGTTAGGGTCAGAGGAAGAACTTACATGTGCAGTTGGTGTCAGCGAGGACATTTAGAGGGTGTGTCAAAAGAGAAGACATACACCAGAAACACTTCAGTCCCCCCGCCTTACTCTACTGACAGGAATTTCAGTCTCGTTTCTTTACAACACTGAAGGCTCAATAAATAGGCTCAAGTTTTAGCTTTTAGTCAAGATGACAACAGACACTCAGCTTTAACATACCTCCTCTGCTCTGAATAATAAAATAAAATAAAACCCTAGAAAAACAAGCAATGCTCAAAAAGAGAACAAACAATTTTGTGCACGAGAAAAAAGAACAGAAATATAATCCAGTGAGTCGAGTTGAAGTCATGGGACTACTGAGCTTCTTGTCTGGAAACAGGCAATGGCAACCAGTAGTCTGATTCCTGTTGGGCCGAAAAGGATCAAAACGTGTTCCACAAGACAAGAGACTGAAGTTGAGCTCTGCTTGAAGCCAGAAGAAGCAAACCATGGTTGGATGTCAGTGCTTGATAATCTGCAGGTCCAAGGAGGTAAGAAAGGAAAGAAACAGACAAGTGACCGATCAAGATGGCCCCAATAGCACCCCATAACAGGAACCTCTGCTCTATTCCGGGGCCTTGGGAAGCCTGATGCAAGAAACCACAGTTGACAGAGAAAGGTAAGCACAAAGGCATCAACATTGACAAAAGAGCCCACCCGCCATTTAAAATGAAGCCTGTTGTTGTTAAGTGCCGTCGAGTCGGGTCCGACCCATAGCGACGCTGTACAGGGTTTCCAAGGGTGTAAATCTTTACGGGAGTAGAAAGCCTCATCTTTCTCCCGCGGAGCGGCTGGTAGTTTCGAAC